TCTTTAATTCAAGAGTTATCTCCTCTTTAAGAATTTTGCTTTTAAAATGTTATATTTTGGTAACAGGGATGTTTCAAATATTAACTTTAGAGTGTCCTTCAGTCCGTCTGTCTGTTCATAAAAACTGTTTCCTGTGATCACTTTTAAAGAACTTTTCCAACAAATTTACTTAAAATAGAGAAAACTTGAAACATTAGTGAATGGCCAATGGCCCTTCAGAATGTTGATGGGGTTCTAACCGGTAGGGGACTTATGGATTGCTTGCAATACTATGATAATTGCTTGTTTTTCAAGCTTTGCAAGATTTTAAATGTATGACCCTAATATTAATTAAATTGTTCCTTGCGCCCAACAAAATATTTTTTTTTGTAGATTTTAATTTTGGATTTAGGGTTATTTTTAAAATTTGTTTAAACTGAGACAAAAATATTTTTTCCCGGATTTAAATAATTTCTTACTACATTTAATGGAAACTTAAGTTACCATATTTAAGGAAAAAATATTATTTGGTCACTTATCATTTTTCACTTTTTACACATTGTTTTCAAACGAAACACGCTTGCATCGTGTGTTTGACCAAAATCTCTTGCATGATGTTAGTTTTTAATTCAATAAAAATCCACCAGAAAAAAAACCCCATACTTCTACATTCGTGGTTCGCCAAAAAAAGTCAAAATGTTACAATATCAAGAAATTTATAAGGCCCCTATGGGAACATGGGAGGAAATCCTGAGAAAATGTAATTTAGGATTGCAATATGTCCTCTGTAATGGAACCGCATAAATGAAAATGTTACCCAATACTTTCACTAGGTTTTACAAGTGGTTGCTTTCATGTTTTAATTAACGTTTATAAAGCTATATATCTACTGCAAAATAATATTGTTTTTATTTAAAAAAAAATTCCAAAATGGTTGAATGAAAAAAATATTTTAAGTATATAGCCTTAAAAGCGAATGGTGTGTGCATAGGATCATTCCTAAATTGATAAAACCCTACTTATAATAGCAAAATATTCTAGAACATTTTGTTCTGTTTACATACAATATTCATGTATGTTTATATTCATGTGTGTTAAATATCAAAGACATTCTATGTTACAGCTCTTTGAGCATCGATCATTCGATCATAAGAACATACGAATAATGAAACAATATAATTTTACTGTTAATACATTTTATTTATTTTTTTATCAGATATAGGTTTATATATACCTACCCTCTGAAGAAAAACATACACAAAATTAAGGTCTAGATGGAGGTAGATGGTAGTGTAATGGCGTACGTGTTTTGCTTAATACATGTTATTCATTAACTTGTTAAATTTGCGTGCGTTGAATTCATAAAATTAAAGCAGTGTGTTTCCAGATTTATGCTAATTTTCATCAAAAAAAATGCATAGGAGAATACAAAATTAAAGACAACAGTGGTAAAATGTAAAGCTTTATATACTTTTACCTATACACTCGTCATTTACGATTAGATAGACATAATTTGAGCCATGACATGACAAAACCAACATAATGGGTTTGCGACCAGCATGGGTCCAGACCAGCCTGCGCGATCAGGATCCATGCTGTTCGCTATCAGTGTCTCTACTTGTTATAGGGTTTGTAAGCGAACAGCATGGATCCTGATCAGACTGCGCGGATGCGCAGGCTGGTCTGGATCCATGCTGGTCGCAAACGCATTACGTTGGTTTGTCGTGACACGGCTCATTTCACTTAAAGATATCAAAATTAATTTCATAATCTATTTTTCTTATGAATTATTATAATACGAAGACAAGACTCATCATACTTGTTTCAAACTGACAAACGATACTGTTTAATTTCGCAAATTGACAGTCACAGACATGCATATGTAAATAAGTGATTTTGGTCCCCAACAATAAGTAAGCTCGAAAAACTTATAATGAACTGTAAATCAAAAAAGACAATTTCCCACTAGCAATTTTTTTCTTTGCAAATAAAATCCGCATTTCTAAATAACTTGAAGAAAAAATAACTGACACAAAATTGTATTTGAAAAAAAAAGACTTTGTATGCTTCTTTTATTTTTGGATATGTTTTCATTTGCCAATGTATCTATTTGTATTGTAAAATGTTTAATGCAATAAAGTTATTGAATTGAAAAATGAATTGGGAAAAAAAACGTATAAAAATACAAGGAATGTTTTTGTCCGGCGGGGTTTTACCTTCAACTCTACCAATGCCCGGGCAAATAACCACCCTAGAATTCAGATCAATTTCTCGTTCTAATACTGTGTAATGGGTCATAATATTTTAAAATTAACAAATTGTTTTCCCACCAATACTGACAGGTTGAAACGTTATTGTCTGAGGGAGTCATTTTAGTGACAAATAATAGTAATATTTGTAATGTTGCGCAAATTCTCGCAAGTTTTGAAAGGAACCAGTATTTCACGTGTACTCGAGAAGAAATTTCCCAGTTAGCACTATAGTGAAATGTCCACATTTTAACATTATGCACGACGAACTTTTGTACAGTATTTGAGAAAATGGCTGGAAAGTGTTTTGCATTATATAATGATGGCTAAATTTTTTATTATGATTCATTTATAACTCATTAATCATCATAATTAGTCCGGGTTTGTTAAGAGGCTTTTAGGACTTTAAATTTTTGATAGCATATTTATTGATAATTATTTATTACTTTATTTATCTATAAAATTGAAAATTCGGGATATTTCATTCTTACAGGGGAATTATAATAACAACGCAGATGTTATTTTTTCTCAAAACTATGAAGAAGAAGACCACCATATTAGATATAAGATGATGTTTTTATAATATTATATGACAATATACAGTTCGAATTTCTCAGCTTTTGTTAAAAATCATGTCATTTTTATCACCAGTACGTAAAATATTTAGGATGAATAAAAAACGTTTGCTCAACATCATTTTACATTATTTGACATTATTTAGGAAGAATTCTGTGTTTTCTTGTCGTTAGACAAAGGTCTGTGTCACGTGGGAAAGTCAGCCATGTTTGAGTGACAAACTTTAAAAGTTCGAAATTTTCTAGCAGTCTCGGAACCATATGTCACAGAACATATTCCAGTAAAGACCGACATAGTAACCAATCAAGCGCTGATTGGATTAAAGCACGGTTAATCACCGAACAATGCGTTGTCTGTTGTTATTGACCAGACGGCCGTGGTATAATTGTCGCCAATTAGCGCCCTAATTATTAACCATCATGAGAAAATAATTGATCGGTTTAACTCTACAGATCGGCTCAATCAAAGTTGAGAAATTGCTCAATCTGTTACTAATATCTACATTCTGTGTATCAAAAAAGTAAAGTAAAATAAATAAATAAATATTATTTAAATTGGCATATAATGAAATTATCGAATTTCGTTCAAGATTAAAGAATAAGGAAAATAAATATTTAATTAAAAAAGAGATCAAAATGTAGCTAAGGTTTTTCTCTCATATAATAAAATAAAAAAGGATATACTTATATTGTTATATCTTATTGTATTTATGTGTTTGGCCTAACTATAAGAGATCCTTATTGGAAACATATGTTAAAAAGTTCAATAATTCAAAGCAATAAATTTCCAGAGACATTGATAGCATCTACATCTCTGAAATTTCGAAGTGATTGTCCAAATAACTAAGCAACTCACTTAACGATCTGAAACATTTCTTACCATTGTTTGATCGTATAGCATATACATGTACTATAAATATGCTATTTCCATTTCAGTTTGGTAGAAAAAAAAAAACAGCAACAACAAACAAATGCTATTTGTATAAAGAATTCAAAATTTGTCCTCATCTTCTTCTACTGTTATTGTTATTGCTACTACCAACAATCACTTTTATTAGAAGCCACGTCACAATAGTAAAAGTATGACTGATTAGCATAAAATAAAGAGTGGGTTACAAAATCAAACTTTAAACGTTATTTTCAATACATGGGTTAGTAATGATATTGCCAGTAACTTTTGTTTGCTTGTTTGTTCGTTTTTGAATGATATGTTCATATATATAGGAATAATTGTTGAAAAGTAACTACATACAAGTATGTGATAAAAATGTATGTTTCGGAAAGAAGTGTATCAGAAAGAAAGTGTAAGAGAGCATTCCGACCACTGCAACTGGTTCTTTCACCACCTCACACCATCCTGTATCCTCCTCGTTTAAATCAATTACTTTTTTGCTTGCAAAACACACATTATTTATAAAATATTTACAATAATATTACCCTTTATCATTTAAACAGTAGAATGTATGCACGGTAATTTTGTTTATAAACAACTAAACGTTTGTAAATACTTTACAGATTTTCCTTTTTCGTGTTAAAGGCATATTCTATAACTTTATGTTTTAAGAACATAATTATGCACCAAAGAACGGTGCCCAAGTCCCTTCTTCTGCTGAATCTTTCCTGTTATGCCTAAGGTCTATCTTAATCAAGTTTTGCGGAGTCAGAGAATGAAATAATGTAAAAAGAATCACGGCAGTAATTAAAGCCATGAAAAAATGTATCACTATTTTTTTTATCATTAGAAGATAGCAACAGTTTGTAGAATAATTTGTCTTAAAACTTTTCTGTCGTTATGAGATGTATAAAAAATATTATGCGGCCAATAACAACGGTAAATTAAAAGCCTTTTCTGTTGATTTATAAGAAAAATGCGGGAATTGGTTCGGGAGAAATATTACAATTATACAATTATTGTCCAATTAATAAAAATGAAAGAAATTTAATCGATTTATTTCTAATTTAAAATCATATTTATCATCTTTTCAAATATTTTTCCAAAGGCAATCAACGCTAAAAGCGTAAACAACGCACGTGACTTACCGGGTATTAATCTTAACCAATCAGATAATTCGGTGTAGAAATGAACTCCGCCTTGATTTACAATCCGCGCAGCGATTGGCCGGTGTCTTATTGGACTGGCGGCAAGATCAAAGGGAATTGAAAACCGCATGTACCCGAGAAAGGTTTATAGTACGTAAATGCGATCTCATTGACATAGAAAACTTTGCGACTTGGTTAGAATTGTATCACATTACTGACGACTGACACTGAACTTTAGGTTGTAAACTTAACTTTCTGTAATAATTTAACAAGTCATTTGTAATCGAAAGTTTCAACACTTTAATGTGATTCAAATAAATAATACACAAGTAAATTATCGTGCGGATCATAAACAAATTCATGGTTTTACAAAAGGAGAATAATAATAATTTGAACTGTCGTGCTACAAGTATGAAAAATCAACAAATGAATTTGAATCAGTTACTTGATGTGGTGAGTCCGGATCTGAACGGTACCGTGGAGAAATTAGAAGGGCTCGAATCTAAGTGCGCTGTTAAGTTGGAAGAAAAGGAACTATGGTCCAAGTTCAAAGAATTCACCAACGAGATGATAGTTACAAAGAATGGGAGGTAATGTTTAATCTTTGTTATTCTATTTTTTTTATTATAAACAGTCTGCATCATATTATAACTTAAAGTTCTCTCTCTTCTTTCACCGATCTTTAAGGTAATACAAAGTTCTTGGAAGTTTATCCAAGCCTTAGGTAATGTTCATGCATAGCAACATATTCATTACCATTCACTTCGCGTCGTCTATTAATCAAAAATTAATAACTCAATGTTTGAGTCTTCAACTGATTTTTCAATTGAATGAAATATGGACTAGCCCCATAGCTGCTGTGGGTTTGTCTTTAACTTTTGGCTTCAGCCTTTTTCACATTATTTTGAACAATGAGGTACATAAATGTTGGGACCCTTTTTTCCTTTCATGCGATTTAGGAAAACTCTTACACTTCCTTTTAAATATCAACCGTTTGTTTTACGCTCCTATTTTACAAATTTGAAAACATTTTCAGCGAAAACATCTAATGTATATGTGTATAAGCGAGAAGTAGGATGTGTTTTAAAGACAAAAATTTAAGCCAGATTTGTTTTGACAAACGCAACGGTGAAATTCAAAACACCACTCATTTTAACAAACTCAGTATTTGGGACCGTGTTGGACAAATATCCAATATAACCGATAACAGTAGAAGTAAACTTTGCTTTGTATCATTTTAAGATGACTTCTTGTATGAAAGTAATCATAACTTGTTATCGCATTTCATTTACTTTAAGTCAGTCCTATAAATTTATTGCTGACAATATATTTTAATGTGTTTTAATAAAAAGAAAACGCCTGAGAATTCACACGTTCCCGTGATCATTTTGCCAATTGTTTCAACTCCTTAGGAAGGGAAGTTTAGACTTCTTTAACATCGACTGACAAGTAATCATCTTAACATTATAAAAAGGGTAGCATATTTAAATTTTACTTTTAAAGGTACTTTCATTTTTAACAGACAGTGTTTTCTTACTGAATGTTTATTTAATTTATACAGTCTTGGTTGAAGATACGTCAATTTGTTCAAAGGAGTTTACTATTAGATATAATTTCAACCGATTTAATTAATAGTATAAAAATTGATTCTGATATATTCAAGTATATATTTAACGAAATACCCTACACCGCGAGCAAATCTGATCTTTACACCCAGGGTATATGTAAATACACAGAATTTCCTTAATTGGGAAATATGTTCGTTTGTGTATTTGTACTTCGTCGGCGTCCTTTGATGTATTTATTATTTGTGCTTAAAGGAAGAATAAGCTTTTAATACTGGCGTGTTGATTATTTTCGGTATTGATAAGAGTAAATTTTCTGCATATATTATCTTAAAATAAAATATCTACATTATATAAGCAATAGTAAGTTTATGCTAAAATCGAAGTTCACCATGAAATTGTTTCGGATCAAATACGTAGTTAAGGGAAACGCTTTTTTGTTGATTAATTTATTCTTTGAAAGTGTCCAGCCCAATGGTGGCAGCACATACATGGTGAAGTATTAGGAAATGTTCACTTACAACCTGATGAGTGATTGAAATTTAATTTTGAAAAAAAAACGAAGAAGAAAAAATTAACAAATATAAATAAATAACAAGATTAAGAAATATTCATAACGCATGTGATATTTACAACTTGTAATCACCATCTGAACGTTTCGGATTTTGTAATTTTCATATTGTATATTAAATGGACAGTGACTTAACTATTATTAAATTATTGTGTGACTGAAAAGCAACGACATTTGCATTCTAAGAAGTGTTCTATCATGGAATCATATAATAATGTATATGCGTCTTGTCGAACAAAAGAAACTACTTTTTTCATACTTCTCTTAGATTTTGATATTGATTCCCCGTTCAGTTTATCCCGTGTGGAACAGTTTGGAAATATTATACACCAGTTTGTAACTAACAGCTTATTTTCCTTTGAATGAGTTTTTTTTTATTTCTTCCCTTTTTATATCTTTCTCTACTTTTTTCTTCTTCACTGTACAGTATCTTCAACAATTTTAGGAGTAATGTTTCAATACTTTATTTAAAACCTTTTTAAGAATATTGCATAAACTTGTAGACGATTCTTTTCCTCTGACATGATTATTTCTCTCAGTAATTAAGATATTGTACACGTTTGCCAGGTGTTTAGGGTTTTGTTTTAGAATGCTACAAACGGTTCCATAAAAAAAACAATTAAAATAATGCTAAATTTAGAGTTTTCAGGATTTCTGACATTTGGAATTTGCACAATGACCAATATGAATAGCCTTTATTTTCTATAGATTTATTTAATTAAAATAAATCTAATGACAACTATATTTTTAAACGCAAATTATCTTTTATTGTGAAGACAGTTTCTAAAACAAATATATTGATATAACATGTGAACAGATAAACAATAAGTGAACGATTTGGTTCCACACATATAAAAAGTCATACAATTAAAGAGATGGTGAAAAAATTAAAAAAAATAAAAACCGTAATTTGTCAAAACAATAAAACGCGTACTCGTACGGATAAAAAGTAACGGGTCGTACGAGAATTTAACCATGAACACATTATTATAGGCAAACGCATTTTGAATATTATTTTAATTTTATATTTCGGAACACACACGCTGCTGAGGGTCTTTAATCATAACTGCATTTTTATGTTTTAAAAGTTTTGAATATATACATAAATGACATGTTTATTTTAAGTTTTGTATACAGTTCAACTTTTAACGTAACCTTACTGCATTTTATGTAAAAAAACTGTAAAACATGATTTGGTGTTATTGAAACTGTCTCCGAATAAGATACAAAATGAAACTACAGTTCATTCGGTGTAGATATGTATCTTTATTTATGATTTCTCCATACGATAACATTTAAATATCCTGCGATAAAGAATTACAAAATTAATAAACTAACTATAATAATTGTTTTTTTATTTAGCCCCATTCATTTACATATTTATATTGTGTTTTTATGCGATGGTAATTTTCCTTCTGAAAGCAACCAGGTGTTTATAAAATCGTCCCTAAGCACTGTGTTACGCTACAAAAACAGGAAATTTTCTTCATAACGTGGGCGAATCACGCAACAAGATAAAATCGATTCATTACAGTCATTGAAAAATCTTCAGCAAATCAGAGAGGCTCTCGAAAACATGTGAAAATGCATTAAGTTGTGTGCATAACAATAAATATATATTTTTATATAATGAAACAATACTTCTACAGAATTTGATTTGATTTTTTTGTAGTTAAATGGGATATTCAAAATTTTAGTTACTCCTTGTCTATGTTCTATTTCTTTAAAATTAATTATGATTTTTTTTTATATTTAGACAAACGTGTACGTTCCAGAATATGGCACATTTTCCGTTTTCATAAAAATGAAATAGAAATGTAATAAAACGCAAATAATTACATGAAAAAGAAAACCATTCTAAGAGGGAAGACACCTAAAAACGGCATATTTTCTGAACGTTCTACTTATAGGCTAACCAATTTAAAAACGTTTCATTAAAAAAATCTATGGCAAAAAATAAATGTTAAATCATATAAATAAAGTTTTTTTTTCTATAATTTTTTTTATAACGATAAAAATTTGATCCTATTTTGTTTTATTTTACTTTTTTGGAATATGCTTTGAAATATCATTATTTTTTCATTGAAAATAAATTAAGTTCTGTCTAAATTGGTGAACACTATAAATAATAGCATATATATAACAAATTCACATGTTGCTTATAAATAACAATAATGCTTCGGGACGCTTCAGGACGCTTCGGGACGCTAAAATCCTTCGGGACGCTCTTTAGTGAGAACGAAGTAAAAATGTTGAAAACGAAATCATTTTGTAGGATAGGTATCTGACATAGGAACGTACTATGTTGACCAGTGTAATAATGAATAAATGCAAATGAGACAATAAATAAAGTCATAAAATGCAAATATCCTGTGGACACACTTAAATAAAATTACCCATAAAACAGGAAATACTGTGCAATATTATGCTGGTATCCCGCAGTGACCGTGGCCTATTATTTGTGGTTAAAGTTGCGTTTTTTATCGTTTGTTTTAGAAACCAGAACTCTTCTAAAACTACAGGGCGTCTAATTTTAGGGCACCGGATAGCCTTTGATCAATTGTAAGGAGCTCTTAATAAAAAAATCTGTTTTTGTAACAAATTTACATCTGCCGGAAAGTCTGAGAAAATATATATCGCAGTACAATATTAATGAAATTGATGAAAAATATATGATTTTCCAAAGAAAAAAGAAACAAAACAAAGTGACAAAAGCAACACAAATTATACACTTATCATATAGTTAAAAATACGTTTACAATGTGAAATTTGTAAATTATATTTTGAAAATTATTATGTAATACAAGATAATACAAATAATAAAAATGCTTTTATAATTTTTTTAGACGCATGTTTCCCGTGTTCAAGACGAGCATCAGCGGGTTGGATCCCAATTCCATGTATACTATCCTACTGGACTTTGTGCAAGTGGAGAACCATCGTTGGAAATATGTAAACGGTGAATGGGTAGCCGGTGGTAAGGCTGAACCCTCAGTGCCGAACTGTGTGTACGTTCACCCAGATTCGCCGAACTTTGGATCTCACTGGATGAAGGAACCCATCTCATTTAGTAAAGTGAAACTGACAAACAAATTAAACGGTGGCGGACAGGTAACTTTCCATTTTTATTTCTTTCATTTTGTTTATTAGGAAATGTTACTGCACGATTTGAATATACCGAAAAAAAATGTCGATTTAGTCATGAAACAGCAAATATATATAGACATTAACAAATAAATAAAAACAAAAAGCTCACAGAGCTGTATTATAGGTCTCTGGCAATAAAATAAATATACATGAAATATTGCAATAAAACTGGGATCTTTTATTATATTTCTGTGAGATGATGTTTTGAATGAAAATATCAACATTAACAGTTAACCGTTTGATTGGGATTCATTTTAAATAAAAGCAGTTAAAATATATGTTAAACATTGAATGAAATTTAGATTAGAATTGTGTTGTTGATTATAAATATACAGGTACTTGTTGTTTTGTTTATATTTGGACAAAGTGTTGTTTATCGGACCCAACATAGAATTTTGCGTACAAATCCTTGTGAATTAAACAAACAACAGCGATAAGCTAACACCATAATCTGACGAGAAAGTCAAGATTATTACTCCTTTTCTGTGATTTTAAGTCTTAATCCGATTAAAACGTTTCAATACTTATAAAAAGGGAAAGACATTTCTCCACCATGATGTAAATGTATCTATTGTTCGGACGGTCCTTTCGGATGGGATGCCGTGATTTTCTATGGTTTGGTGTCATAAGACATTGCAAGCACTTGTTAAAAAGTAAAACCAAATTTTCCAATTAGTGCCAGTTTTGTATGTCAAGAAGTGAATCCAATGTGTTCGTTCTTATGTGAGAAAATTTATCTCTAAAAATTACCGTTCAGATTAATTGGGGGTGTCTATGGTCTATAAATTAGTCAAAATAAAAGTAGAACAACCACAGTGTTGGAGATAGGGTATAACGGAACTCACTATAGTCCCTAAAGGGCTAATGATGCAAGAGTGCGTATCGCAGAATTATCGATTGCCGAATCCAGATGGCTGTACTAATGTCCGAAACCGTGTCTGTCCGGAATGATATATGTCATCCGTTAACGCAGCTTGGCAAATCTCATTATTTAATAATTTACAGGAATTTTGTCAATTCAAAAGAAACCATTAATCTAAATTTCAATATATAACTTTACACGCAATTATTTATTTTTTAATTGAATAATTAATATTTTTACTATACACGGTAGTTTCTTTTCGTACCATGATATTTATTTTAGAGAAATATTTTTTTATTTGTTCAGAAGCAAAATTCGACACGTTCTTTTTGTTTAATTTGAGCTGAAAAAATATTAATAGAAATACTATTATATGTAAACATTTTTGGCAGTTTTCTTTTGAGATCTATTTCTGTTTTTTAATAAGTTTAAACACTTCTGGAATGGTGACTTTAAAATTTAAATGATTTAAGGTGAATTGTAATTATTTATATAATATATATTATACTACATTTTGAGAAATATGCTATTATACAAACTATCATCTTAGTTTTAATTAAAGCAATAATAAATGTAATAAAATACATGTATCTTTAGTGTCGGAGATTTTCCGTTAGTATTAAGAGAGGCGATCGGAACGTCCTCGGCTATTATCTATAATATCCGAAGATTGACGGAAAGGGCCGAAAAGTTGCTATTGTAAGAGCGGCGGAACATTTGACGCTCTCTTACGTTAAATAATTACAAAGTCATTCCTCTTAAATGTTTAATGAATTGTTTAGAAATCAATTATTTGAATTATTTGCCTGCCAGTTTAATCTCATTATGTTACAGCAATTATATTGCCAGCCTATAATACTTTGTTGACAGAGTCATCGATAAACATCATCAAACCATTTATTTACATTGGTACCCAATTTAATACAGTCATCATTTTTTTTTAAAGAAAGTGGGAGGCTTTAAACAAATTGCAAATTAAATGTCAAGATGCTGTTAAAAAAGACTTGAACGTGAGCGTTTGTTGTTATTGTTGATGATTTTAGAAGTTTTTTTTCACAATCTTTAATTGTAACTGAAACTTTTATACATTTTTTATTTTGTGTCATTCATTCATTTATTTATTCATTCATTTATTCGTTCGTTCGTTCGTTCATTCATTCATTCATTCATTCATTCATTCATTCATTCATTCATTCATTCATTCATTCATTCATTCATTCATTTATTTATTTATTTATTTATTTATTTATTTATTTATTTATTTATTTATTTTACAGATTATGTTAAATTCTCTACACAAGTATGAGCCTCGTCTTCACGTTGTCAAGGTAACAGCCAATGCCCAGAAGAAGCGAATCAGTAGCTTTAATTTTCCAGAAACCCAGTTCATCGCAGTCACAGCTTATCAGAACGAGGAGGTAGGAAATATTATGAAATTATTTTCTTACGACACCGTTTTGACCAAACTTGATTGATGTTTAGTTCGTCTTTTTAAGTACAGTGTAGCAAAGCGACCAGTCCTTACTCTGATCCTGCTTATCATGTTCTTATTAAAAATGTTGATATCAATCAATAACTCCATATCAATTGAATAAAAAATTGACGTCATCAGTATGGAACATAGACAATCTGTACAGACGGACAGACTGGTCTTGAGTTAAACTGGCAGCAGAAAACATGTTTAAATATGAGTGCTAGCACACTTAGTGTTATAATGTATATTTGAAATTAGAAAAGAAGTTGAAAATAACGTATGTTATATAATAATAGACTGTGCAGAATTTGCTTTAATTTTGATATTAAAAATTTATTTTTAAAATGTATTCAGATGTACTCACATTATTTATTTTCTTGCATTCTAGATAACTGCATTAAAAATAAAACATAATCCATTTGCGAAGGCGTTTTTGGATGCTAAAGAAAGGTAGGTCAAATATGTCAGTTTTTTGCTCTCCTCTTTAAAAGTAAAGATGTTTTGGAATAGAAATATAAATAAAATCATAGTTAACTTTTAAAAAGATTGATCCAAAATATTAGATATACAAAAATAGATAAAATGATAATACTAATATTTTTAATTAAAAAATCAACTGATAATTATTTGATATTTACCATTCTGTAACTCTATTTTCTGTCTGTGAAAATTCTAAATATTTATAATACTTATACGCCTAATTATTACGCTTTATTATTACAACATTATTTATTTATGTCTAATAATTATGGCATTATTACGCCTGATTTTTACGACATTATTACGCCTAGTTATGACGATATAATTTCTCCTGCAGCAGACATTCTATAAAACTACATATATTTTGTTCCTTTTCTTTAGGCCAGAACAGAGAGATTATTTGGAAGAAAGTTTAGACAATCAACAGAGATCTTTCTCACACTGTAAGTTTTGTTTTAATTCTTTTATTCTGTCAACGGCTCAGCAACATCTCAAAGAAACAAAGTTTGTTTACCGACATGCACATTAAAGTATCACGAGTGCGTTTTACAGGCGGAATAATTTTGTTGAGAAATTTAATTTTGATAAAGATGCAACATTTATCAAACTTTTTTTCCATGTGAGCAGCCATATAAACTTTGATTTATATACTCATCCAAAAGCATAGTTGAATTTGTAATAATATATTTTTATAAATATATAAAATATTGTTAGCATACGGAACTGAGTCATTCACTGAAGTCGATTTGAAACTTCATATTTCAGTAGAATTTTAAAATAATTTGTTAATGATTTGAAAAATGCTATAAATAATAAGCATGTAAAGTATTCAAATATATTCAGTGATACAGTACAGTAACTTCCAAAAAATAAGGTTTCGTCTGAAGTAGAATGTAGCAAGAGCTAGAAAAAGATAAAACGTATAAAGAGCAGATGTGGATAAATACAAAATTAATACAAATTATGCGTTCCATACTTCAAGAAAGCTATAAATAAAATATCAAAGATACACTTAAGAAATACATAAAGCAATTACTCAAAAATTTAATTTTCGTCTGGAAGCGTTACAGGTGTCGTCTGCTTGTTTGTCAATTGACAAAAATGCAAACAGCGTTGTGTGCGGTTAGGATCCGAATTGCGTCAAAATCAACACCGACCCTAGGCCTTTATCAGCGCGTATACGAGAACCTAGTAAAGTTTCGGTAGCAAAATTTATATACGTACAGGCCTGTATGGGCGAACTTATCAATGCTATCTATTATGTAGTTGATTTACTTTCTTGTTATATTAAGTGCTTGTACTTGAAGTAAACAAACAAGTTTCAAACTCTCTCTAGTGAAGTGAACAGGTGTGTAAAATCAACAGCAAATCCCCATACTATATCATTTCATCTTTACGTCTGTAGACTGGGTCTTTAAAGGGGCAATTATTTTCTTTTTTTACCAAAAAAAAAAAAATCTAGGGGAGTTTATGATCCGTCACTTGAGATCGCCACATTTGAAGTTTGCGCGGGCCCTGAAAAATCCATTCAATGTCTAAAACAATACACCTACATTATTGTTTCGATCAGAAAAAAGGGGATATAATATCGATATGATATTATTTTTGGAATCTGTTAGAAAAAAAGTGAAAGTCTTTTTTATTCAATTAAAGATATTACATTTTTTTTTTCATAAAAATAGGGAAATATATACATGAACAGATTTTTCAAATTTTTTAATATGTAAGTCAAGTCCAAAAAATCCCTTATTTTTAGAGATAACTTTTCTTCGTTAATTAAAAAATATATACTTTTCTACTTTTTCGATTATAAGTTTGATATTATTCTAATTTTTCTTATTTTTAAGAAAACTTAATACGATACACTTAACTGTGTTTTTTTTTCTGTTCAATTAGAAAAAAAAATATCATAAACTTGTATGTGTATGAAGAGCGGTTATTGTCCAAGCAGTCTATTAAACGGAAAGACTTCGTACTTAATATACGAAATCTTTCCCGATTAAGAGGATTTCGGAAGAGTCTGTGAAAACGTGGATGACGGATTATACCCAAACCTGCCTCGCACTACTTTTTGTCTCGTGGAATGTTTGTAATCTATATTTGTCAAAATGTCAGTTTAACTTATCAGCCGAGGTGCGAAAGAGCGCATAGATATGGAGTGCGCAATGAATAGGGGCCACCGTATTGAACAAACGTACATCTAAATTTCCTCTGATTTCGGCACGTATTTGTGAAGTGCGGAAGATAAACGAGCGAGCTACTTATACATAAATTATTAAGTGCCTTTTACATAGGTTTCATTGAAACATGGTTGATGGCTCTTTGAATACGGCCAGGTGGGACTTGTGTGATAATATTGAAGGCCGTATTGTGGAAAGAAGGATCGTAACAGTTTAAACGCAAGTTTACGACATCGTGTTCTTTTGCTTGACAAATTTATCATACCCAAGTGTTCGCTGGGTTAATAAAGTTGAGGAATGTTTTTTGCTCCTATTGAGTTAATCTATCTTTCCATGATTTCCGTGTTTATGTTAAACAAAGCTATATAGTTTCTACTTAAAAAAGACATAACAATCAACAACTACAACAAAATTCCCCGCCGCAAATAAAAAAATCAAACACTAAATAAATAAATAAATAATGAAGAAAGAACGAGAGAATGAATGAAACAATGAATGAAAAACCCTTAATAAATATAAAAAACTAAATTGATTACTTTTAATTAATTAATTAATTAATTAATTAATTACGATAATAAGAAATTATTATGTTACCAATCAAAAGACAATTGTACTTATTGTACAATTGATGTTATGGTGTCGGATTTTGAGGCACACTAACTCATAACTTTGAGTAGAGACTTAGTAATATTGGAAAAGCAACATAATGACCAGAACATGAGTATTCTACGTATCTGATGGTAAACTGCAAACATTAATATATTAATGGACTCTTTAAGCACAAAAGAGAAGAAAAAAAACAACATCAATTAGAATTACCATTAAATCAAAATGAAACTTGGAAAATCGCCCTTTTGACACTCCTTTTAAAATTTGTACTAAAGTAACCGATTATTTTTTTGTTTGTTTCGGTTTGCATTATTTAAGGCTGCACTGAAACAATTCCTTTCTTCGCAAGACTTTGTTTTATCTCTTGAATAACATACATAAATATTCTTTCTTCTCTATCACTTCTGACACTTTTGCTGGTATCATAACAAGTTTTTTTATGTATCACCCGGGTCTATTAGGACATCGCATGCTCTCGATAATCCGCCAGAAATGTTTCCAATAACCATCCGTGGTTCACAATTACTCTAGACCCTTTGATTAATTTGTCAAATTTCGTTGTTAATCTTCTTTTGGAATGATATGGATTAACGTTCAAATGCAATAAAGAAATCTCTGAAAGAACCGTCATCATTGTCTTCTGGATTAACGTTACAAGGGTTCATCTTTTAATCTACCAGTTCGCATCGTCGCACGGATAATTACAAGGGTAGATGGTCCGTTGTTATCGTATCTGTAAGAAACGTTTAATTCAATTTTCGGCACCTTTGATGTCTATGTAGGTACAAATAAAATCTTGATGACTGATATTATTTATATTGTTTAAAATCTGATAAGAAAATCGTCTCTGATTTTCATTACTTGATGTGAAAGGCCAAATATGCCCAAATGGTGTCGGTATTTGCCAATTTCACAGCATATAAAGAGTGAACTCGAAAGCTCTGGATTAAAAGTTTGATACGGGTACTTAAAACTTACGTAGAAATTGTGGGACGGCATGTGAGACGGTTTTTTAGTTTGACCACTTAATCTCGCTCAAAAAAAAGATTGATTGAGCATTTTGCTTGTCCGTTCTTTGACAACCATATTAATGTTTTCTTTTTGTTCTCATCTAAAGCATGTTATATGCCTAATGAATCAATAAAATCTTGAAATCTATTTAAGGTACATGCATGTTTTTGCATTGGTACATTGCATTGGCACAAAAGAAATATATACTCTTAAAGGAAGGCAAATCATTCACAAATTATCAATGCATCTCATTTTGAACTTTATAACAATTTAATACATGATTACTTACGTTGTAAATGAATTTTCTGCCGAACATAGATAATAATATTTACATGTATGTCTTTTTGTGTTTACAACAAAAATATCATAATAAAAATTCATTTGCATTTAAGATATTGTATTGGAGAGAACAGAATTGTTAGCTTATAAAACAAGTCTAATATGCACCATTTTTGAATGACATTAAACAAGCAACAGCTGTGTTCGCATAATAAAATTGCATAATAAAATTAATTCATATTTTTGTTACGAAAAAAAAATAGAGTGTTTTAACAAACAAATATCAACCGTTTTCTAATCGTTTATCTAATTTATTCATAGGACCTATTACCTAAAAAATCTGCAATCAACACGAATTTAATGCTTTAATTTCAATAAATTAAAATTAAAAAAAAAAAAAAACAGTTCAGTGCGTGCCTCTGTCGACGATTGCGAGCGATCCAACCTGAAAGATGACAGCGTTATTTTTTTTTCAATTAGTTTGTTTGTCAAACTTTAGACATGTCCGTATTGTCTTCTTGAAATGTCTTTAGTTGGATCATTTGAATAAAGATTTAGACAACCATTTTGTAAATATAAACTTCCCATAGAACGTTACAATTTCACGGTGTGGTCCGTTTTTCTCCAATCTTAATTGCACGATGAACGATTTCAATTTAGTCTTTTATATTTGGATCTGATAGTGCGTTATCACCCGGTTCCGGTTGGCTGGTGGAAAATGAGCCACACACTTTCATGTGTGTTTATAGTTATTTTATGAAGGATAGTAGAAGGATATGATATGCCACCCACCACGCTGAATTTATAATTCCCTCTATGATATAGTTTATTGTCATGAATAAGAATAAGTTTGCTCCCGATGCAGACTTCGGTGTCAGCGTCTCTCTAGATGACAACGAAGTTTGTTTAGATTCGTGTATACAATATTTTGATAGCTCGTGAAGACCCATCTTGTCTAGGGCATTGTCCGTTCTGTTTTGTCCAGTATGTCACGCCCATTGTCCATTTTAAAGAAGAAATCGCCGGGACACCGCGATACGTTACTCGAAACTCCTCTAAATAAACAAAATTAAGTATCAATTAGTCAGACATTTAGCGTGTCCTTACTTAGTACTTGACATGTTTTGACTGATACGCGTTAGTCACGTTTTATTTAAACTGTTATTTATAACAATGCACGTTTGTTCTGTTTTCACTCGTATACTAACGTACTTATTTATTGTATTTTCAGTGACAGGAACGTGGTATTTGCCGCCAGGTGGCGCCCTTGTACCTCCACCAGCTCATCAGTTTCCAAACGCTTTGAACTTATCAAATCCACATTGTGATAGACTCAGCTTCCGTAATGCCAGGCATGCGCCATATTCACATCCGTATCAAAGACGCTCTCCTCCTAGTAAGTATTCAGTCATACCCAACATATAATGAGGAAGGCAATTATTTGAAGCCATTTAAAATTAGGAGGTGAACAAACTTAACAGTCTTAATAAAAAAATTTCAACCATCTAATTGTAAAAAGTATGTCCACTTTTGTACCTCAGCAGACAGAAAGACATACGGACGAACGGGGGGATACATTTTATTTTAATTAAAATTTTGTTACATTTGTATTTGGAAATGGATATTATGTTGGCCACATTTAAAGCTGCATGCCTTCAGATGAGCTAAAAAAATCAAGACAAACTTGCGATCAAACTTGCAAAAATGAACTAAGATTTTAAGAAAAGTAAAAAGGTTCAAGATTCAATTAATAATTTACATGTATGTGCAATAAATGACTGACTTTGCAGTATTTATCATAATATTTCTACTGCGGGTCTTATGCAGTAAGGGTTATTGTTTTACATATTTGATCTCTTTTTTTTGTGGTAATTTACGGGGATTGTAAAGTGCCGTTTTGAATGTTTAAATTACTTTTTTTTCATTTACATTGTATTTAAAAATACATCTTATAAAAGTGAACATAAGCATGGATCTGGAGGCATGCTGCTTTAATCAAATAAAGACAAATTAAATGACTGTTCTTTAATTAAACTTTATACTGAGCAACATGGCGTCCACCGTGTAGAAATTGCAAAGCGAAGTTTTTCAAATTGAAAAAGAAAATGACATAATCCGAAACTGCTGTCAAACTTTGTTTATTATTTTTTCCGCATTGTCATCGTGGTCATCTTGTGGTCAGTGAATGCGACCAAACCTGTCCTATTTGAACAATATCCTAGACAGATGTATTCATTGCTAACTTTAAACTTAACAATTAAAATTAATAGCTAGAGTTTATAGTGGGACATTTAAAGTGAGATCCTCTGAGGAAATACCTAAAGGGTGCCATAAAGTAAATGTTGGGGGTTAACACAACAACTTCATTCATAATATGGCCATTTTGTGACACTTGTATGAAAGCGTCTCTATCTAATTTATGCCATCTTTAGGATCAAAAACGGCATTGAAACGATAACTTTTAGTTAAATCGTGTTTACCTATGTTTATTCGACGCCATTTTCGTGCTCATTCGCCAACTATATAAACATATTTAACGACCCTTTCTCTTTTTCAAATTGTATTAAAAAGGCACTTCTGCCATAATTGAAAGGAAAAGATTTTCCATTATCTTATTGAAATGATTTTACTGGGGATAACTAAGCTTTGTACAATTATTTATGACCGCCCAAGAAAGTCTTATGACTAAACCCATTTGTAATTAAAATTCTATAAAATTATTTTTATTGCAAACGATTTCAATACGAAACGTTTAAATTTATTTCTCATTTATTTACACGGAAAACATTACTGCAAAATATACGCCAAACGTAAGAAACGCGGAACAAATTACAGGTGTGTTATTCCTAAATCCGGGTATGGAACCCTGCGAAAATTAAATCAGTTTAATTGAAGTGGCCATTTTTTGATGTAGCAATTTTTACACTAGGCCACTACAAGATATCACCTTTTGCTCTTTGATGATTTCCCCAAAAGTCGGGACGTAAATCTTAAATAGCAATATCATCTTCACCTATTATAGACAGATATCTTTGAGATCTGCAAATTGTTGATATAAAATTCGTTGTTTAATTGACTAAATGGATAGAAATTGTCATCGTTTTACAGTTCTTAACTGGATAAATGGGTAGACCATTGTTGATCATATTACAAATTTGTTAGCACCCCCGCCCCGGATGTTTTATGGGGGTGTGTAATAAATTTTAGCAAATTGTTCGTTTTCTTCACTAAACAATTTTCTTGAATTTCGGTGCGGCCATATAATAGCCTAATTTGTAATTTTGACTGTTAATAGTGTAATAGACTAACTGAAATTTCGGAGCATGTATTATAAAATGAAGCTTTTCAATGACTGTTACAAAAAGCAAATCAAACATCGCGATATACATGTATTATATGTCTTTTGATATGGTCTATAATTTCGGAAATAAAAAAAATACTTTTTTTTTATTAAAATTGATACTTTTCCGACTTCACTGACCTGTATTATTAAAAAATATTGTAAATAAATATATTGATTGTATTGTAATTCTTCTTAGAACATTTCAGATATCTCTTATGTTTTATTTTCAAGTAAAGAATTCGTTTTTTTCATATCTCTTACATAAACATAGTTTTAAATCATTATTATTATTTCGTCTTTTACAGGTAGTCTATCACGTGACATGACTCCAAATCTTCCAGTCCTAAACATCGGCGATAACTGGTCACAGTTTTCTTCAACAGCTGGAATGCTGAATGGAAATGCCGTACCTTCTCAATCTCAATATGGTATGTGGATGGGATCTGCCATGCCAGGAAACATTTCGCCCAATCAGAGCTGTTCAATGCCGTATCTGCGAAACGCTGGATATTCTATCCCATCATCCACTAGTCCGACTAGCGTGTCTTCCCTTTCCGGTAGCATGTTATCGTCACAGACAACGTATGACCAGTGTGATATTTCAAACTTTGTTCCAACACCAAGTAGAGACATTTCGAGAAACAGTAACTGGAGTCCACTCACTCCCCCACCTATATGAGTTGATTTCCGTAAAATAAAAAGACATACTGTGATAAGCGAAGGACTAGCCGAGTATTTGGTAAAAATAGTCCTTGAACTTTGAATAAGTTAATATGGCAGACGGTTAAGCCCCCTGTTGCCTATGGGCTCAAGCCAAGGCCATAAATAAGTGGGAAACCCTGCTCTATCGTGATGCATTGTCTCAACATAGTGTGCACATAAACTCAGATGATTCAACATCCGGCACCGTACAATGAAAGACTTTATGAACTGTATATTGACACATATGTGTGTTTCGTAAGGAAATATGTGCTACAATCGTGTATTAAAGTCATGACCATTATCATAAATGTAAATATGTTCTTGTTACATACATATTATTTTCCATTTACAGGAATTTGTGAGTAGTTGACGAATTCTAGACAGATATATTTAAATATGCAATGAAAATTGTACATGTAAGTGCACTGGTGCAAAATATATCATGAACAGAAGACTTTAAAAAGATAAAAATGCCTTGCATATTCACAACTGTTTCATAAGTGCGAGAACTTTTAATTTTTGTACAGATTTGTAATTAAACTTGTATAAATGTACATAAAAATCAAGAACTGTTGAATATCATACACTGTGTGTTAATTTTTGATTTTGAATTCCCTCTTCAAACAAATCTTTCCGCTAACTAATGTTTATTTTTGACAAAAATTAGAAGTAGTATATTTACAATAGGAAACTCTAGCATTCAATTATAGAATTAGTTATTTGCCGAAACCTCTCCTTTGAAAGGACATTTCGCTAGCCCTTTAGAATTTGTTGCAAGAAGTTGGAGAATGAAGGAGAAAAAAGAAGAAAATTATATCGGTGTATATTGATCATTATAACAAATTTGTGACGGGGTTACAGATATATAAAAGGATAATGATGTTTCAAATTAAATATCATTAAACCAGAGTATAACTTTCGTCTTTTGAAGCCCGCACGAGTTGTTTACTTTTCGAGTTTTGATCCCATTTGAAGAGTGGGTCTAACATTTTAATACTGAAGAAAAGAAAAGGCAAGGTTGTGATAGTAAGGTCACTATGGAATTTAAGTTTTGTCTCCGGTGGGTCTGGATGATAAAGTTATATGTAACTACATGCATGTATATAGGATACAAAAACCCAATGTTTTGTTCAGAATAAAATTAGAGACAAACTTTCTTCTACACCAACATGTACCCCGTTCCATATACAACACCTTTATGAAAACAAAAATCAACGCATTAAATATAAAGTTGTATAATTTAACAGTGAACTGTTACTAACACTTTTATTGTAATTATCCGAGTAAACAAATGACCAGATTCCTTTTAATAATAAACCGGTAATGTATCTCAACACAAACAGATGTTTCCAGTTTTTGTTCTTTGACAAAAATTTATAAGTGCATTCAGGTTCGGGTTCCAAAAAAAATCTTCTAATATTCATGCTTCCATATTCGGGTTGTCACCAAAACTCTCATAAATTCATGTCTGCATACTCGAGATGTCAACAAATATTCTCATTAATACTTGCTTCCACATTCGACTCGTCAACAAAATTTCCCTTAAATCCATGCTTCCATAATTTGGATGTCAACAAAAACTGTCATAAATGCGTGATTTCATATTTGAGCTGTCAACAAAAGTAATATATTCATGTTTCTATATTTGGGATGTCAACAAAACTCTCATACATTCATGCTTCTATATTCGGGTTGTCAACAAAGAAATTCATGCTTCCATATTTAGGAAATCAACAAACCTCTCATAAACTCGTGCTTCCATATTCAGGTTGTCAAAAAAAAAACCTGTAACAGATTCATATTTTTAATATTTGGGATGTTAACAAAAACTCTCATAAAATCATGCTTACATATCCGGGTTGTCAACAGAACTCCCATAAAATCATAATTCCATTTTGGGTTTTCAACAAAAACTCTCATGCATGCATGCTTCCATATCCGGGAAATAAATTCTAGGAAATTCGTGCTTATATACTTGAGATGTCAACAAAAAGTTTCATAAATTAGTGCTTCCATATTTGGGTTGTCAACAAAACTTATAAAATCATGCTTTCAAATTCGGGCTGTCAACAAAAACTCTCATAAATTCATGCTTCAATATTCGGGTTGTCAACAAAAACTCTCATAAATTCATGCTTCCATATTCGGGATGTCAACAATAACTCTCATAAATTCATGCTTTAATATTCGGATTGTCAACAAAAACTCTCGTAAATTCATGCTTCCATATTTGGGATGTCAACAAAAAATCTCATAAAGCCATGCTTCCATATTCGGATTGTCAACAAAAACTCTCATAAAGTCATGCTTCCATATTTGGGTTGTCAACAAAAACTCTCATAAATGCATGCTTCCATATTTGGGATGTCAACAAAAACTCTCATAAATTCATGCTTCTATATTTGGAATGTCAACAAAATCTCTCATAAATTCATGCTTCCATAATTGGGATGTCAACAAAAACTCTCATATATGAATGCTTTCATATTTGGAATGTCAACAAAATTAATAAATCCATGCTTCTATATTTATGAAATCAACAAAACTCTCATAAATTCATGCTTCCATATTTGGGATGTCAACAAAACTATCATAAAATCATGCTTTCATATTTGGGATGTCAACAAAAAGTTTCATAAATTCATGCTTCCATATTTGGGATGTTAACAAAAACTCTCATAAATTCATGCTTCCATATTTGGGCTGTCAACAAAATCTCTCATAAATGCATGCTTCCATATTTGGGATGTCAACAAAAACTCTCATAAATTCATGCTTCCATATTCGTGTTTTCAACAAAACTTTCATATATTCATACTTCAATATTCGGGATGTCAACAAAATCTCACATAAACTCATGCTTCAATATTCGGGATGTCAACAAAAACTCTCATAAATTCATGCTTCAATATTCGGATTGTAAACAAAAACTCTCATAAATTCAAGCTTCCATATTCGGGATGCCAACAAAAACTCTCATAAATTCATGCTTCCATATTCGGGATGTCAACAAAAACTCTCATAAATTCATGCTTCCATATTCGGATTGTCAACAAAAACTCTCATAAATTCATGCTTCCATATTCGGGTTGTCAACAAAAACTCTCATAAATTCATGCTTCCATATTTGGGATGTCAACAAAAACTCTCATAAATTCATGCTTCCATATTTGGGATGTCAACAAAACTATCATAAAATCATGCATCCGTATTCGGATTGCCATCAAATCTCTCATACATTCATGCTTCTATATTCGGATGGTCAACAAAGAATTTCATAAATTCATGCGTCCATATTTAGGAAATCAACAAAGCTCTCATGAATCCATGCTTCAATATTCGGGATGTCAACAAAAACTCTCATAAAGTCATGCTTCCATATTTGGGTTGTCAACAAAAACTCTCATGCATCCATATCCGGGAAATAAATTCTAGGAAATTCGTGATTATGTACTTGAGATGTCAACAAAAAGTCTCATAAATTAGTGCTTTCATATTTGGGTTGTCAACAAAACTTATAAAATCATGCTTTCAAATTCGGGATGTCAACAAAAACTCTCATACATTCATGCTTCCATATTCGTGTTTTCAACAAAACTTCCATATATCCATACTTCAGTATTCGGGATGTCAACAAAAACTAAATTCATGCTTCCATATTCTTGTTGTCGACAAAAACTCACATAGATTCATGCTTCGATTTTTAGGTTGTCACTTAAAATTCTTATAAATTCATGCTTCGATATTCGGATTGTCAACATAAACCTCTCATAAATTCATGCCTCCATAACCGAATTGTCAACAATAAAAAAAATCTCGTAAATATATTTTTCATTTCCTTTATTCAATAAAAAAACTCATAAATGCATGCTTCCGTATTTGGGTTGTCAATAAATAAAACAACAAATAAAAAACTCCAACCTAAAGATATGCTTCCTAGACAAATATTTTTTCAAGATTTGTGCACCATTTGATGTAGGTACGGACCAATACCTTTTAAGCGGAATTTCAGATAATGCTCATATAACCATATTTCTAACAAAATTGTCAACCAGATTTTTGAAAAATGTTGAAATGTTTATAACTTTTTTATATTTAAACAGATTAGATTCTATCGCATGTTAGGAATTGTCAAAGATCGAGCATGAAAAAGCAACGTTAAAAGGTGATAGTCTTCAGAGACCACTGTATACTACTCAAGGCCACTAGGAATTTTACCTACTGCGTACTTCTAATGCCACTGTCTATTTCTTTTACCCACTTGCAATGGTCTTTGGAACTTTTGCGATAAAAATTTATTTTAGATAAATCTGAACGCGCCTTTAAATTTGCAGTTGGTAAAGTGATTTTAGTCTTACACGACTAAAGTATCTCAGAACTAACAACCACAAAATGCAATGTCATTTTTGCAAAGAAAGACGGAGATGGGCGGACAGAATGACAAACAGACAGCCATGCATGTAGACGAACAGAAAGACAGTCGGTAAACACACGAACAGACAGACAAAACTGATACAGACAGACAGTATATTTTGTTGCTAGACAAACAGGTCTTTTACCTATTGACTTGAAACTGATATCTTGTCACGTGATCATCAAAAATATAATTCATTTTACCTTGTATCCTTTGACTGAGGATCTCTATCCGACAAAGAGCAACCGTTTCTCCAAATACAGCTCCTCGTCAAATTTTGGAGCACTATTCGGTGGAAAGCATAGAATAGACCTCTGATTCAATGTGCTTACTCTTCATACTCTTCATACAAAACATTTTTGGATTTGGACTTCCTTCATTTGGGCCTCTCATTGACGAAAAGATGGAAAGTAAGATGTTATATGCAGGAACACTGCCAAAAAGAACGAAATAGCACAAAATGGCTTTCTATCAAAAAATCAAAATTGATAGTAACACTATTTTTAGAAACATAAGTGCTTGTTAGAAACTCAGGCTTATTTATAATACAACAAATCTGAATGCTGTTTTTATACATGGGATAAAAATAATATTTTTTTTTGGGGTCCCAGATGTAACGATATCACACATGAGCGTAAAGTGGTCCCGAGTGCCGAGCAAAAATGTCCATTTAAGTTGCTTTTATTTTCTTTTTCTTTGTATGAAATTAAGTTATAAAGTGGTTCCTCCAACATCGAAATGATTTGCTACAAAGTTACAAAAAAAATGTAATTGATTTATCGTTCGAATCATGTTTTCCTGCATCATTTAAGTAACAACAATAGCAACAATTTAAACCACCAAATCTGCATTTTTTAGATTGCAGTATATTACTCTCATCAAAAATGATTCGCATAAAAAATGTAATATTAAAACGACCAATTAAAAATGTCTAACCATTATTAAATATCTTCCATAACAAGCCTCAGATTCTTAGTGTGTGGTCTAAAGTTAATACATTCAAGCATCCCCCTTAAAATTACTAAAAGTTGAAATCTATACCCTGTCATCGTTTCCTCTGTCAACCAATCGCTCTCATAACGCCATACATGGCCCATTATGGTGATACGGATCCAGATTCATAGTCCGAAATCATAGGTGAAAACGTTTTTTTCGCACGTCGTTAATATT